AAGTTCCAAATTTTATCAAGATCATATCAAAAATAAGAAAGTTATGAATAAAAATGCATTAAAAACTTGATTGATATTGCACAGAAAGGGTATTGTCACCGTAGTAATTCTCCCTTTACTTTACTATTGACTTTGCATGGACATATTCCCAAAATGTCGAAAAAATGAGCGACTAATATCAGAGCTGAACGAAAACTACTGAACGGATTTTAATATTTTTTTCGTTGAAATGTTCAAGTAAATGAGAACAATATGACTAACACAATCATTTTCATAATAATTAAAGTCAAAATTTATCTTGACCTCCCTACTCATGTTTTAATCTCCTTGATGTCGGCCGTAGACATTAGTCATATATGTCACATATCCTAATAATAGTACATAACACTCCAAATCAATATACATTGTGTCTGATAACTTGTCTGTGATATTTCTTCAGTGGAAACCGAAGTTAAATATAGCTATTTCACACACACGCAAAATGAAAGTAGAAATCTCGGGAGACACGTGGAATTAAGACGTGCCGAATGTAATACGTCTGATGTCGGCAGAAAAGATTCTATTTTGATGGCATATTGTCGGATTTATGATCATATTTTGAATGGGGTTTATGTTTTTAAATAAATAAATAAACACACTAAGAAATGTTGACGAATATTTCGATTGGAATTACGTAAGTAGTTACAGTAATTGTTTTTAGACGATAGCGCGTGCTTAAGAGTCGAATGGGATTATTTAGCAGTTGGTGTCACTCGCTCCTTCTGTTAGAGCGACGTTTACGAAGGTTTACGGCCAAATAAATTTCGGGATGTCATTTTCTTTACCTTCCATATATAAATCAAAATGGAGCATAAGACGAATGCCGGACTTTGCTGAAAAAATGTATCGACTTATGACCCGAAAAATACGGTAATTTTGGGGGAATTTGAAACGGGTACGGATGGGCAGTAGTCGGCACGCTTTCATTCTATGGTATACCGATGTCATGTAATTTTATAGGAATATTATCGACATAAATTTGAATACCGTACGGGAATTAAATATGTGAAAAATTATGAGGTGCATCTAATTTTTTTTTATTATGTATGAATTTGAATATTTTGTTGACACGTGATTCTTAATTGTGGTTTGAAAACGCCTGCTTAAATAACGATAAGAGTTATGTCCCTTTGTTTTCGAGAAGAAATTGTCCGACAACTAAAATTTTGAAATCCCATCACTTGTGGGGGGGGGGGGGACAATATTTTCTATTCTGTTTTGAATACTCTACGACGAAGTTTTGTTTTTTAAATATTTTGATTATATTGTATCATTATTGATTATGTTTAGTTCAAGTTATTATTTAATTTTCTGTGCCAGTATTTCAAACCTCGGAAAATAAACCATTCAAGGTATGTGTCATGTGCTTGTATGGCTGTGTTGATACATAAATAAGCTTCATCTTGGTTAGATAATTATGTCTCTAGCTCTTTTCGTTTTTCAGATATGGAGTGGGGCTGAAAATGGAAGCAAAATGGCCGATTTCGCGAAAAGGTGGGGTGGGTCTGCCAATTGGCGTTAAAAAACGGGCATTAACTCTGTCAATTCTGCTGAGATGTGCAACTTTGGGAAAATAACAAGGTTATTGACAAATTAATATTTAAAAATAGCTGCTTGTAGCTAGTTCAAGTTTACATAATTATTTAATTTTCTGTATGGTTATTGCAAACATCAGAAAATAAACTTCTCGAGCTATGTGTAATGTTTTTGCATGATTGTGTTGGTGCGTAAATATTCTTTATTTTGGTGAACTAATTATGTCTTTAGGACCTTTGGTTTCGGAGATATGAAGTGGGGTTGAAAAGTGAAGCAAAATGGCCAATTTTGCGAACAAGAGGTCTGCCAGTTTGTGTTACTAAATAGGCATTAACTCAGTCAATTCTGCTCCGATTTACATAAACTTGGTGTTGTTACAATACTGAGATGTACAGCTTTTGGAAAATAACAAGCTTCTGAAGAAGAAAATATTTAAAAATAGCTGCCGGTCGCTACATATATCCTGCTCTTGAGAGAAGGCATATGAATATTTTTTCTCTTTTTATATGCCCACATTTAAATGTGGTCGTATATTGTCGTCGCCCCCGTCCGTCGGTCCGTCGGTCCGCAGTCCACAATTGCTTGTGGACGCTCTAGAGGCTAAAGTTATTATCCGATTGACTTTAAATTTATACACAGTGTTTAAGATCATGAGACGAAGAATCCTATTGATTTTCAGCGATCTTGTGGACGCTCTAGAGGCCAAAGTTAATATCCGATTGATCTTAAATTTATACACAGTGTTTAAGGTCATGAGACAAAAAAGCCTATTGATTTTCAGCGATTTCCGATAATTACTACCAGAGTTATGGCCCTTGATCACTTCAAAAAATCTTATGGACGCTCTAGAGGCCAAAGTTAATATCTGATTGACTTTAAATTAATACACATTGTTAAAGGTCAATAGACGAAGAAGCCTATTGTTTTTTTAGCAATTTCCGATAATTACTGCCAGAGTTATGGCCCTTGATCACTTCAAAAAATCTTGCGGACGCTCTAGAGGCCAAAGTTAATATCCAATTGACTTTAAATTTATACACAGTGTTAAAGGTCATGAGATGAAAAAGCCTATTGATTTTCAGCGATTTCCAATAATTACTGCCAGAGTTATGGCCCTTGATCACTTTGAAAAATCTTGTGGACGCTCTAGAGGCCAAAGTTAATATCCGATTGATCTTAAATTTATGAAAAGTGTTTATCATGAGACGAAAAAGCCTATTGATTTTCAGCGATTCCCGATAATTACTGCCAGCGTTATGGCCCTTGATCACTTCAAAAAATCTTGTGGACGCTCTAGAGGCCAAAAATATCCAATTGACTTTAAATTTATACACAGTGTTTAAGGTCATGAGACGAAGAAGCCTATTTATTTTCAGCGATTTCTGATAATTACTGCCGGAGTTATTGCCCTTGATCACTTTGAAAATTTTTATGGATGCTCTAGAATCTGAAGTTAATATCTGATAGACTTTAAATTTATACACAGTGTTTAACTTAAGGTTATGAGACGAAGAAGCCTATTAATTTTCAGTGATTATTGATAATTACTGCCAGAGTTATGGCCCTTGATTTCCTATAATTTCTTAGGACGCGCTAGAGGCTTAAGTTAATATAAATTTGTACACAGTGTTTACGGTCATGAGACAAACAATCGAAACAAATTCTAATGATTTCTGATAATTACTTAAACATGCATTATGCAAGAGCTAAATCAGCATATTTTAAGTCTTTATTTAGGCTTCAGATGTCATAGAAATTATAAATTAGATCTTTATTTACACAACAAGCCCAAAATCAACTCTGTAGACCCACAAGTGGCTTGGATTTAAACAGGATTTCATTGATTGATTAAATTTTTAAATGGCGTTGTAAGCGGAGATTACCGGTAACCGTTAGGTTGACGTCATACTCCCGGAAATTTTCCATAAAAGGCAATGATGATCGAGGCTAAATGATAGAGCGTACAAAGCGAGGCCTCTCTTGAGCGAAAGTTCAATATACGGCCTTGATATTATGTTTAGTTGTGGTTAAAATGAGAGTTTGGATGTCGGTATTATACACTCTTTTGTCAAGTGCGTTTTCAGAAAAATTATGGAAATTGATAAACATCGCCCCAGTTGAATTGCAGTCCCATTGGATCACTGTTTCCTATTTGTCTGCTTCGGGAGTCACGTAGGCCTACCAGTTACAGTACAAGAGTACACGCAGGCTAACAAGAAGGCGGCTATAATTATGTACAATGCTGCCTCATTGATTTGGTCCATTCCTTTCAAACTTACGCTTCTTATCTTTATATTAAAAGTCTTATTTTTAATTTCTAGTAAAAATAAATGTGATACGAATTGAATTGCAACCCCGTCTCAAACTGAATAGGCTAACGGCACCACAGCCATTGAAAACGTTACTTGATAATCGAGATTATGTAGGTGGAGTTAACGCCTGTCAGTCAAACGATCGGCCATTCTCGGAGACGGTGAAGATAGAGTTGACTCCTATTTCTAGTGAAAAATTACAATGGAATGGTGATAACTTTGTTCAGAATAAAGTAATTTGATTGAAATTTTCAATATATTCTTCTTTCATCATCTATTTTTGAACTGTTATATAGCAAGAATGGCCAACTCTCTATTACAATCTCCCATAATGTATCTTTGATGGGTTGTTACTCGTTATCAGATTTTAGTGTGTTGGAAATGTTTTCATTTCTGACAAAAGAAGATATATGCGACAACCTTTGTTGACTGCTTTGACGACTTAGCTGCTGGAGGCGTAATTTACACGCCGAAAATTTCTCCGACGTGAGAATAATTAGATTATTCTATGTCGTAGTTTGTACACTACGTCATCAATTTCTGTGCTTCACCCAGCATTTACACACCTCCACTGTATGTAGTCTTCGTAGGCTTTTATATTTCTTCTTATTTCGTTCATAATCTTTAAGTTCAGGGTAGCTATTCTGAGACACCCCTTATTTTGCTACACTGGAAGCAATAAATAACATTTCATACAAGTATTGGCTTTCATAGCTATAGTTTTTTCTTTACTTCCTGTTGAAGTGAAAGATTGAAATGACTGTGCCGTCAACCATAGACGTGCTGTCAACCTCCAGTTGTCATTAGACTAAATACAGTATCAATGAAATAAGGACGCTTAAAATAGGGTTGTTCAAATAACGACTTTACTTGCTTTTATTGAGTATTTTGAGAGCCTCCAAGTCCAGCAGATGTGGAGGGGAAAAACTTAAAGTTTTTGAATGTCTGCATATTGATCCACTGCGACCTCTGGTGGGTGTATGTTTTGTTGCCTGGCAACCTATCTTTTAAAACTTGCATAATAATTCAACTGATTTCTTAGCTTGGATTTGTCACCACAAGCAGTCTACAGATCTTAAAAAATAAGCAACAATGTATTCTTTATTTTTTCAGACGTTAAGGCAGATAAAAGATAATCAGAAAGAAAATGTCTTGATGGCTGCTCTTGGTGCAATGCAGGAAAAAAATACTGAATTAGAAAATAGTTTAACTGCCGAAACTCGTTTTAAACAAGAATTATTTTCAGCTTTAGCCGAGGAAAGAAGACAGATCAAGGTTTTACAAAGTTAGTTGATATCTAAGTTATCTTTAAGGACCAGGCAAAATGGAAAAAAGTGCTGAGGCAGAGGGTTTCAAGTTTTCAATCAAAATTATGCTATGAAATCCCTTTAGTGGTAAGAAGTTATGTGCTGAAGTGATTCCTTCCCAGCCCCCCCCCCCCCCCCCTTCCCCATGCGTATATTTTTGCCACAACTTCTCTGTAGTTTACACTGTTTACATAGTTCTCTTATTATACGCCCACATTTTCATGTGGAAGTATATTGTCGTCGGTCCGTGTTTCCGTCCCTCCATTCACATTTTTTTGTGCAACTGTATCATTTGTGTAGCTTGTATTCTCTGAAGAAGTAGGTTTTTAGACTTACGAAACGTTAGATACTATAAAAGATGGTTTTGTGATACCCATGACTTTGTTTTTAACCACATTTTCATGTGGACGTATATTGTCGTCGCCCCTGTCCGTCCGTCCACAATTTGTTTGTGGAGACTCTACAGGTCACAATTCTTATCCGATCTGATGAAAATTGAAATATAGGTTTATCTCCAAAAGATCACGGTTGCTTTCGATATTGGCATGTATCGGATCGAAACTTCGTGGATTATGGCCCCCGATTGTACGAAAAATCACGTTTTTAGCTTGTGGACCCTAAAGAGGTCACAATTTTAATCATATTTTGATGAAATAGTCTGGCGGCTCAGCGCTGGGAGGGGGTCCATCAAATGGGCACAAAACCAGACCCAACTTTTCTAGAGTAAAATTTTGCGTTTTCGGGGTCAAAGGTCAAATGGGTTCATTTGCACTGAAAGTGAATGCGCAGTCATTCTTGTATCATGAAAATAAGCTGAAAATGATCGAAAGTAATAATCATACTTTCAATAAAAATGTAAGCTTGCTAAATCAGGGATGTCACTAACTTTTCAAGTAACCGGAAATTTTGCTAAAGTAAGGAGCAGCAAATGTTTAGGGCCTAAGGCCTGAATCTGCGGGCAAACCGAAGGGTGGGGAGTGTGTTATGGCGTTAGGTGCCTTTCGGGTCAATATTTTAAATGACAGAAAGTTTTTTTTAAAACATTTTGTGAAAATATACATAAATCTATCCCAAAAAACTTTAATAATCCAAATAAGTGCTTTTCAGTCATATCTGAGTAAAGTCTTAAGATAAGCCTTATTATAGAATTGCACGTCTACCAATTTTAAAACTGAAATCTGTGAATATTAGTTTAGGCTTTGCTAAAACTTATAAAATCGTAACAATTTGAAAAATATATAAAATATTTTTAATCTTCATGATACCAGATAAAAGGCAGGCTGCATTTATTCGGAATTAGCAAATTTCAGTCTGCAAAACCAATAAATCCCGTTTTCTAATTATGGGTGTAATCACGTGAATGGAAATCCCTGGAAACGTGACATCAGAGTTTTATTTTCCCGCAAGTGCCTCCCACATAAACAGTAATAGCGCTTATATTTCTATAACTTTTGAGTCCGACTATTTTCGTATATTGAGATCGATATCAAAGCATTATAATACAACCGCTAGTAATATATTTAAACGAAAAAGTAATCTAAAATCGCAGATTGAAAGTCAGCTAAATTTCAGTCAATCACTCAATGCCAATGGCTTCCGATTTCACGCTCAAGTCACAAAGCGTGAAAGGTTTTCTGTTCACGGGAGAACTGTCAAAATCGTATAGACGTTTACTACTAGCCATGAGGAAAAATGACAGTAAGGGAACGGACCTTGTACAGGTAGTACAGGTCTCTATTTTATCAGGTACGCTTATGTACCTATTGATTACAATATACTTATAAGAATCATGAGGTCGATTTATACAACGGAAGTAAGGGGGTTACCTCCCTTTTTGAAAGTAAAACTAGCATTGGCATAATTATGAACATTTACCGTGAGAAATAGCTTTCCATGCGGGAGATCGGGAGAAAGGTCGTAAATCCTTGAGTATCACGAAAAAAACTGGTTAGTTGATACGTCTGTGTGCTTTGCGTATAGGAATTAAATTAGTTTCAATTTATATAATGCCAAATTATTTTATTAAAATTAAATTACTGATCTTTTTTAGCTGAAAATAAAGTAGCCGGAAATTGGCCTAATGTAAACGGCGAAATTTGCCGGTTGCCGGCTTCTAATGACATCCATGTGCTAAATTCACCTTTGTTCTTTGTGACCCCAGAGGTCAAAAGGTCACATTTTCCATATTAGCACTAGGAAGATTTAAAGTAATAAATGTCAGCGTAAAATATAAAAACTAAAGCGAAACCTGTTCTAATTAATAATAGGAACAATTAAAATTTAGGTGGTTTTAGCACCAAACTTTTACTTTGGAACGTCGAAAATGATCTTGTATAAGAGAACCAAAACGCTTCGGAACCTGTTTCAAAAATATGTAAAAACTGTTAAATCAAAATCTCTCCGAATTAGTTTTACAACGAATGCTATATATAATGATACTAGTTGTCTGAAAAAAACAACTGAATAGTTTGGTGGCTGAACTCGTAAAATATGGTATATCAAGGTTGTGGACCCTATAAAGGTCACAATTTTTATACGCCCACATTTAAATGTGGTCGTATATTGTCGTCGCCCCCGTCCGTCCGGCGTCCACAATTGCTTGTGGACGCTCTAGAGGCTAAAGTTAATATCCGATTGGCTTTAAATTCATACACAGTGTTTAATGTCATGAGATGAAGAAGCCTATTTGATTTTGCTTGTGGACGCTCTAGAGGCTAAAGTTAATATCCGATTGGCTTTAAATTCATACACAGTGTTTAAGGTCATGAGACGAAGAAGCCTATTGATTTTCAGCGATTTCCGATAATTACTGCCAGAGTTATGGCCCTTGATCACTTCAAAAAATCTTGTGAACGCTCTAGAGGCCAAAGTTAAGATTCGATTGATCTTAAATTTATACACAGTGTTTAAGGTCATGAGGCGAAGAAGCCTATCGATGTTCAGTGATTTCCGATAATTACTGCCAGAGTAATGGCCCTTGATCACTTCAAAAAATCTTGTGGACGCTCTAGAGGCCAAAGTTTATACCCGATTGACTTTAAATTTATACACAGTGTTTAAGGTCATGAGACAAAGAGGCCTATTTATTTATAGCGATTTCCGATAATTACTGCCAGAGTTATGGCCCTTGATCACTTTGAAAAATCTTGTGGACGCTCTAGTGGCCAAAGTTAATATCCAATTGACCGTAAATTTATACACAGTGTTAAAGGTCATGAGATGAAAAAGCCTATTGATTTTCAGCGATTTCCGATAATTACTGCCAGAGTTATGGCCCTTGATCACTTCAAAAAATCTTAAGGATGATCTAGAGGCTAAAGTTAATATCCGATTGACTTTAAATTTATACACATGGTTTGAGGTCATGAGACTGAGATTCCTATTGATTATCAACGATTTCGGATAATTACTGCCAAAGTTATGGGCCTTGATCACTTTGAAAAATCTTGTGACGCTCTAAAGCCCAAAGTTATCATCCGATTGACTTCAGATTGATACACAGAGTTTAAGATCTTGAGACGAACAAGTATATTGATTTTCAATGAATTTTTATGACTTGAACAATTAAATCCATGATATTAAAAGCTTTGTATACAAAACATTAGCATGGGGCAGAAGTTTATAAAAACTGAACGGGGATCACGGTGGCTAAGTGGGTAAGGCGCTGGCTCGCTAACCTGGAGGTCGGGTGTTCGATCCCTGCATTGGCCGAGAAAGTTCATCCTGATTTTCCGGCGTGGTTCCCCCTTGTCAGTGATGCAGGACGGAGGGCCTGACAAGTACAGCTGTCTAGTCATTCGGATGAGACGAAAAACTGAGGTCCCGTGTACACATTGGCGTGCACGTAAAAGATCCCTTGACAGTTGGAATTCGATATAAGAGTAGGCCGTAGTGCCGCTGTCCGGGCAAAATTTCCCTCATAGCACACTGTATGGCGTATGCCCGTCTTCATTAGCCCAGTTCGGAGCAAAACAGTAGGACGTTAAACCCCATTTCATTTCATTTCATTCGATTTCATAAAAACCGAACAAATTCTAATACTTTTCTGATAATTACTTCGTAACTCACGAAGTAATTATCAGAAAAGTATTAGAATTTGCTCTTAATCAGATTTTAGTGTATTATAAATGTTTTTTAATTACCGAAAAAAGTAAAAATATGCGACAACTCTTGTTGACTGCTGTGGGCGTATGTTTCGTTCCCTGGCAACCTATCTTTCCAATTGTCATGGGTAGCCGAAAAAAGAGATCGAAAACGTCATATTTTTACGATTTGGAGCATTTTTAGAGGTCTTTTTCTCAAAAAGTTAAGATAATATTTTGGGGGGAACTTCTGCTACAGAGAGTCTTATCGGTAGTGTTATGTATGAATCCTTTGTACGACAGTCCCAAATATCAGGAGTAGGAGAACAAAGGGATCGATAATTGAAAACGGCACCTTTCATTGTTAAGCGAAACATGTAGTAAGGGTGGATACAATCTGTACGTTTTGTCAACGTATAGATCCTATTCAAGAGTGCTTTTTTTCTTTCACATTGACGTTATTTTGAACTAAAATTATTTCAACTATGAATGTTTACTTCTATCCAAAATATGGGTTTATTGACCTTGTAGCAGAAATAGTTGATTGCAGTGTGTAATAATTAGTCTTTGAATTAATATTGTTGCTTCTTTGTCAAAATTATCTTATAACTGTAATCATCTAGACAGAAATCGACGGCTCGCGCTGTTTATAAGCAAGTCCAATTTGTTAAGTGATTGCAGTAGTATTGTACAGTAGTGTTGAATATTGCATCTCTGATGAAAGGCATGACGGTTTATCTCCCTAATATCTCGGTTCCTTTCGATATTGGCATGTATCGGACTGTAACTTCATGGATTATGGCCCCTGATTGTACGAAAAATCATGTTTTTAGCGTGTGAACATTGTAGAGGTCACAATTTTTATCCGATTTAGTTTAAACTTGAAATGTATGATTATAACCCAAAGATCTCGGTTCCTTTCGATATTCGCGCATATCGGAGCGTAACTTTCTGAATTATGGCTCCTGATTGTACGAAAAATCGCGTTTTTAGCTTGTGGACCCTATAGAGGTCATAATTTTTATCTGATTTAAAAAAAAACGTATTATTATATCACCGTTAAACCCTAAGAATGGCTGAGTTCGAATTTCGTGAAAATCAGCCCAAAACTGACAGACAAAATGGCCGCCCCTCGTTCTCAAATAATGTAAAAATATGGTATATCAAGGTTGTAGAGGTCACAATTTTTATCCGATTTTGTTGAAACTTGAAATGTAAGTTTATAACCCAAAGATCTCGGTTCTTTTCGATATTCGCGCATATCGGACCGTAACTTCCTGAATTATGGCCCCTGATTGTACGAAATATCGTGTTTTTAGCTTGTGGACCCATTAGAGATCATAATTTTTATCCGATTTAAAAACCGTATTATTATATTACCGTTCCACCCTAAGGAGAGAGAGAGAGAAATGGGGTTTAACGTCCACTCGACACAAACTAGGTCATTTCGGGACTAACATATGGTTTAATTTTATTTCAATAATTCGCTTGCGCGTAGGGGTCTTTAGCAGTGGGAGGAAACCGGAGGACCCGGAGAAAACCCACGAGGTTGGACAGGCAACCCTTATCCATGCCACGTACAACCGGGGATTCGAAACCACGCCAGTTGACTCAATGACAGACTTTATGATACAGCTCGCGCACGCTAACCATTCAGCCATCAAACCCCCCTCCATTCTAAGGACAGTTGAGTTTGAATTTTGTGAAAATTGACAGACAAAATGGCCACCGTTCGTTCTCAATTAACGTAAAAATATGGTATATCAAGGTTGTGGACCCTATAGAGGTCACAATTTTTATCCGATTTTGTTGAAACTTGAAATGTAAGTTTATAATCCAAAGATCTCGGTTCCTTTCGTTTTTCGTGCATATCGAACCGTAACTACCTGAATTATGGCCCCTGATTGTACGAAAAATCTCTTGCTTTTTAGCTTGTTCTCTATCCATCTCTCGAAAATGTGGGCGTATCCTGCCTGGCAGCCGCTGGTTTGAAATGTTAGGGGTAGCCGAAAAAAAGAGGTCGAAAATCGAAAACGTCGTATTTTTACGATTTGGAGCATTTTTAGAGGTCTATTTCTCGAAAAGTCAACATAATATTTTTTGGGGAACTTCTTCTACAGAGAGGCCTATCAGTAGTGTTATATACTGAGCGCCATGGAAAACGCATCACTTAGTTTTTTGTATAACAAAATAATCCTGTAAACATGTCTTATTTATTTTGCTTCTTATTGTGCTTCTTATTGTGAACAATATTCAAATGGGAACACATCAATAACAACACATTTGTACACTTATGGATGTAAAATCTGTAATCAACGGTACAAAGTCAGAGGGGTCAAAACGAAAAGTACGACACAGATGTCAGTAGCGTGTGTGTCCTCCACGGGCTCTTACGCACGCTGTGCAGCGACGTCGCATGGAATTCACCATTGTTTGAAAGAAGGCCTGGGGCAAATTGTTCCATTCCTGGACAAGAGCAGCTTTTAAAGCAGCAATGGTGTGCATCTGTGGTCTCGGATACAGACGGCGTCCAATCTCATCCCAGACATGTTCTATCAGTGCCATGTCCGGAGACATGGCTGGACAGTCCAAGACATTGATGTTGTTAGCAGCCATTGATGTTGCAAGACATCGTCACGGTAGGCTACAGCATTAACGCAACCCCTGCAAATGTGTAGGGCGGTCCGGTGATGAAATGTGAAGCCTCCCCACACCATTACACTTCCCCCACCCCATCGATTCCTTTCGAAGACGCAGCAGTCTTCAAGACATTCCCCACGACGCCTCCACACACGTTGACAGCCATCAGTGTGATAAGGATGAAAGCGACTCATCACTGAAGAGCACACTTTGCCAGTCTACTGTTCTCCGTGTCTGGTGTCCTTGAGCCCATATCAAACGCCGCTGACGGTGATCATCCCTGAGGATAGCTCCAACATAAGGTCGTCGTGCACGGAGTTCTACTTCTCTTAGACGACGTCTTACGATGTTGGCACTTACTGGTCCTTGTCTTCCGACGACTGCTGCACCTGTTCGAGTCGCTGGGCGGAATATGTCACGCAGATGAGTGACCCGGATGTAGCGGTCTTGAGCCTGGGTTGTAACGCGTTGTGAACCAGGACGTTGACGGTCATGTGTTGATCCAGTAACTCGAATACGTTCCACTAACCTTACAATAGTGGACTGATGACAATTGAAGTGTCTGGCAATAGCATGTGTAGACATGCCAGCCCTGGATATTCCCATGGCTTCATTCCGTTGATTTTCAGTAAGTCTCGGCATCTCTAGCTCGATTCCTTCACACGTCCAACAACAAATTAGACAGATTGACGTTTCACAGTTCATGTACTGCACATTAAGTTGAAAACATGCTTTTAAAGGGCTCACACACAATGCTGCACGTGAATATTGGGTTTTTCATGTCGTTCTCATTTTTTCTTCAAAATTTGAAAATTTACTAAAATTGTTATTTCTTGGAATTTCGATTACATATTTGGATTGCCGCATTCTGTTCGATTCTACCAATCTAGGATTATCATGATGTGAATTGTTCAACTCTATTTTTCAATTCCCTTCTCTATCGTAATGCGCATGCAAAGAACGTGTCAATATCTGAGTTATGCATATTTGAGTTTTTATTTGGGGGGTGCAGGAGTGGCGGGGATAGTCTTTGTCATGCATCTGGCGACCGTGTGATGCCTTGGTTACGGTGATAGCCTTCAGTCTTACAAGCAAGTCTAGTTAAAAAATTTTGTTTGTTGGGGGAAGCTAGATCTCAGCAACTATAAGAGATAGAGGTTTGAAATTTGTGCAGCTACTGCGTTTAAAAACTTAAAGCCATTTTGAAATTTGTGCGCATACCGGAAGTGACGTTAAATGCGAAAAACGAAAACTGGTCATAACTCTGTGAATTCTCAACCGATATTTCTGATATTTACATTTTTGGATAGCTGGCGCAATATCTGGCCGATAGCAGTTCAAAACCGACAAGTTTAGAAACTTTGTCGCTTTCATTTTTTTGGGGGGTGAAAATTCTGATTACTATTTTGGATAGCTGGTGTCGATCCGATTCCAATGATATAAACAAATTTCTGAAATATTAACATTGATTTTTAACTTTTTTTTCGCATTTTGTTCAAATCGTAGAGTTCTTAGTTTTTAAACGGCTCCAACGATTTTTCTGAAACTTCAGGAATATGAAGTTGAAGGTCTAATCCAGTCCTTAAACTATAAATGAACAAAATTGATTCACTGGAAGTAATCAAGAAATGTATCCGAACTTTGACAAAATCCTGAAAAATGGGTGCCTTCGCGGAAAATGGGATGTATCCATTATGTTTTTGCCGATTAGTTAAAGTTTTATATCGTTTAATAGCCAATTGAATTGTCTATCAGATGGTACTAAAGCGACAAGTTTCTATCAAAAAATGTTTGTGGACACTGTACAGGTCACAGTTTTTATCCGATTTTGATGAAACTTGAAATATATATTTATAAACCAAAGGTCTTGGTTCCTTTCTATATTTGCGTATATAGGATCATTACTTTCTGAATTATGGCCCTTGATTGTACGAAAATTCGCATTTTTAGCTTGTGGTCACAATTTTTATCAGATTTAAAAAGACGTTTGAATATATCACCATTACACCCTAATGATGGTTGAGTTTGAATTTCTTGAAAATCGGACAAAAACTGCCGGACAAAATAGATGCCCCTCGTACGCAAATACATGTAGTGTATATATGGTATATTAAGGCCACAATTTTGATCCGATTTTGATGAAACTTGGAATACATGTTGTTAACCCAAAGATCTTGGTCCCTTTTGATATTCACACATATCAGATTGTAACTTCCTGAATTATGGCCCTTGATTGTACATAAAATGGCGTTTCGAGCTTGTGGTCGCCTTAAAGGTCTCAATTTTTATCAGATTGAAAAAAAATGTTTGAATATTTCACCGATACACCCTAATGATGGCTGAGTTCGAATTTTGTGAAAATCAGACCAAAACTGCCGGACAAAATGGCCGCCTCTCGTATGCAAATAGTGTTAATATATGGTATTTTAAAGTTGTGGACCCTCTAGAAGTCACAATTTTGATCCGATTTTGATGAAACTTGAAATACATCTCTATAACCTAAAGATCTTGGTTCCTGTCGATATTCGCGCATATCGGATCGTAACTTCCTGAATTATGGCCCCTGATTGCAAGAAAAATCGCTTTTTGTTTTAGCTTGTTCTCTATCCATCTCTTGCAAAATTTTAGATTTAAATTTTCTGTTAACCATCTTTTTTATATTATTTACTTGAATAGATCCAACTTCGTCTCATTATTTATAAATTTGAGTTATTTATTTATATCCTTTGTCTAATTACAGTTTCTGTGGCAGAAAGAGAAGCTGTGATTGTGGAATTGAAATCAAAAATAGCTGAAGTGATGGCTCTTATACCAAGTACAACCACATACCAGTCTCTTAACTCAGAAAGAACCTCTTCACCACTCTTCTCAGCCAAATTGTGTCAGGAACAGTTCCCTGCTCCTGTCACCATTTCAAACCTCAATCCCAATGCCTCCGATTACACACCCAAAATGGCCATTTAAACGACCACAGTAAAATGTCTGTCTTTGGTGAACAGTATGTCACAATATTCATATTTATTCTGTCTTAGTTATTGTTTATTATCAGACAAAGAGGAAAGAGACTTTATTTTAAAACAGTGTAGCTTCTGATACCTACTGTACAGTACTTATTAAATATTTTAAATGATATATTATGAAATACATAAAACTTGAAAGCAATGCTATATTTACAATTGTCAAGAGTTCATAATGTTAAGATGTATTTATTGTTGATCACAGACTTTTCATTATTGATACTATACATACATGCCCTAGGTTATTATGATTGGCCAGCAGCTTATCAGGGGTACAGGATTACTTCAAACAAAGTGAATAATCTGATTGAGGAAAACTAGAATAGAACATTATTGGCTGAACAAGTTTAGAGGGAATTCATTTTATTTTTAAAGTAGGGTACCCCTCATTAGTTTCTGGCCTTGTCCAACCATAATGAATTAATTACACAGCTTTTGAAGCGACTGACTTGTATCTATTGTATAAATCAGTAGTTCTCAAACTGTTTGGCTTCAAGCTTACTGCACACTTGTGTGTTTGGAAATTAAGACAGCACATCATTGAACTAAAACTGTAATAATGTAATCATTGTATTGTGTAATTGCAGTAGTAGTTGATTTGAAGCTGCTGATTTTAAATTTCATTTAAATCTGAAAAAAGAATCATACCTAATTTTTAACTATTATTTTATAATACAGTCAATACACAGAAACAAAATTTTAAAATTAACTGAACAACTCAATTTGAATATTGTTCCCTAGATGACAATATTTCCATGGCTACAATCTAGTCTCGACCATCCAGAATATATCCTGCTAGTCTTTAGGATCAGAGCATAGGATTAGCCCTGCGCATACGGTCCATTGTCAACTTGTCAACTTCTCGCTAGAGATAGATACTTTTGAGCTAGTACTTTTACTTTGTGTATCATGGACTTAGTCATCGAAATTGTCATTAATTTTCTTTGGCTCATGAGTTTTTTTGTCAAAATGTTCTTCATTATCGTGGATCAATCATTTTTTAATTAAAAAAATTACTTCTAAAATACTAAGTTACCGATTTAATTAAATTATCAACACAGATGAACATACACGCTTGTGCAGACAGCAAACGTACAGCTATACATGTAGCTGTATTGTAACCGGTCTTTGTATCGTTTGCTAGATGACAATATTCTCATGGCTACAGTCAAGTTGTTTGTGGTGTTTAATAGTCACTTCCACTGAGGGTGATATTGCAGACAAGTTGTTTTATTTATCTATTTTTTTATTTCTCTGGGAGGAAACCGGACTCACGGTTGAGAAAGGTACCCCTATCTCAGTGATGGGATTTCGCCCGTATATTCTAGACATGTCCAACGCTATTTTCCAAATGTCCTAAATTGTCCGACCAGGAATATCCCCAATTGGACATCAAGACATTGTGAATAATATTCAAAATTGATAGAGTGTACTGAGTGTATATATACAAGCGATAAGCAAATTTCATTGGTTGAGACTTTGAAACACGCTATAACTTCTAGTTGAGGTGGAATGTTCAAACTTGGTGTAGGCGTTCATTAGGTGAATGCCTTGATGGAGTTCAATGATAAACATTGTCTGCTTATGGTAAGCAGAGATAAGCAATCTAATTGGTTGATGCTTTGGGGCACGATAACTTTGGTTTTAATTAAGTGAGAGTAAGATTCATTATATCATTACCTTGACTAAGTTTGATGAGAATTTTCTGCTTAGGTTAAGGATCGATAAGCAATTTGATTGGTCAAGACTTTGGAACATAACTCTGCTTTTAATTGAGGTAAAATATTTAAACTTGATGTAGATGTTCATTAGGTGAAGGGGGATCACGTGGCTAAGTGGGTAAGACGCTGGCTTGCTAGCCTGGAGGTCGGGTGTTCAATCCCTGCATTGGCCGAGAAATATTCATTCAGATTTTCCGGCGTGGTTTTCCCCTTTTCAGTGATGCAGGATGGAGGGCCTGACAAGGACAGCTGTCAAGTCGTTCGGATGGGCCGAAAAACCGAGGTCCCGTGTACACATTGGCGTGCACGTAAAGATCCCTTGGCAGTGGGAATTCGATATAAGAGTAGGGCGTAGCGCTACTGCCCGGGCAAAATTTCCCTCATAGCACACTGTATGGCGTATGCCCGTCTTCATTAGCCCATAACAGTAGGACGTTAAACCCCATTTCATTTCATTTCATTTCATTTCATTAGGTGAATGTCTTGACTGAGTTCAATGATAAACATTTCAAGCTAAAGCTAAGCAATTTCATTGGTCGATGCTTTGGGACAAGATAACTTTGATTCTATCTGATAGAGAGTGATGAAACTTGTTTGTTTGATTGCTTGATACTTTTGAAAACAATAAATGTGCGATTAATGAATATGTGTCATCTATTTATTTTGGGATTTCGGCGGGGGACATCAGCCTCACTGTTAACTTGATAATAATTTATATAACTTTTAGGCCTAAAGAAAGACCTGCAATAGGCAAAGTTAGCTCTTGAATAATTGAATAATGTATCATTAATTGGATGAATACACAATAATCTAATCTTATTAGATTATTCTTATTCTAGCCGCCGCTTCATAACCTTTAGTAAGGTAAGGTAAATACGACAATTTTTCATAAATTGCTGACACTACAAGTGTTTCTTCAGGCAAAATTTGATGCTGAATCCGAATCTGTTGAAATTTTCGACCTAATGTGTGTCTTTCAGTCAGTACAGCCTCCATTTTCCAAAATGGCGGCCAAATTTAAGAACGAACGATTTCCAGTGGATGAGCTAAACACCTATATTCAGAATGCTATAAAAACCAGAAATGAGTTGAAAAATGATGCCGATACATTCTTGAAATCTGTTCTTGGATGGTCTATTTACTCTTAGAAGTTTGTTTTACTCCTTTCAGTGTATGAAAGCATGCTCATTCTCAATAAACTGTTTCTTACATTCCTTAATACATATTATTACTGCTTTTGTGCTTCTCTATTGATTCACTGGCTATAATGCGAGAAGACTTTCAGATTTTTACACCAACAATTGATTATTTTTCCACAATGACAATTTTAAGTGCATTTTTGAACACGGCATCCTTCTCTGTGACCCAGAAAACCATAGAAAAGATATATTACACGCCATATCTCACATACGTTTATGAGTATAATCGCAAAAATCATATTTTGACCGCCATTTTGGAAAATGGAGGCTGTACTGACCGAAAGACACACATTAGGTCGAAAATTTCAACAGATTCGAATTCAGCGTTAAGTTTCGCCTCTAGAAACACTTGTAGTGAAGAAAAAAGTATATTTACCCTACCCTACTTTTAGGTGGAATGTTCACAAATGATTAAGGGTGAATATGAACTAATATTATGTACATTTGACTGTGTAATGTTGGTGTGACTTTTATTTGCTTTAAAATAAATCTATTTCAGTGTATCACCATATGCAGTATTAATTTTGAAGCTACTGTGTTATGATTTATAGAATATAATATAGACATTTTTTAGCCAGGATTTCTTTCCATTAAAAAAAACTGTTTCGTTGATACAGAGTTTTGAAAGTAATACTCACTTACGAGGGCTGGTTGAAAAGTTCCAAGCCTATCTGTGAAAGACCTGTACAAAGTCGATGGCTTCTTTTTATTTTTCTACATAGTCCCCTTCGAGGTGTACACACTTTCGCCAACTAGGTTGCGATACCAATCAGGAAGAAACGTTGTTCAGCCACCCTAAAAAAATTTGTTCACAGCTGACATGACGTCCTCATTACTAGGAAAATGACGACCGGCTAGTTCCTTTTCATTTGTATACGCCCATATGAAAATGTGGACGTATATTGCCGTAGCCCCCGTCCGTCCGTCGTCCACAATTTCTTGTGGACGCTCTAACGCCAAATGTTATGATCCAATTATTTTAAAATTGATATATGTTGTTGACGTTAGTAAGATGAAGAAGCCTATTTAATTTCATTTTCGTTTATTACGTCTAGAGTTATGGCCTTTTTTCACTTTGTTGGACCTTGTGAACGCTGTAACATCTAAAGTTATCTGCCGATCTGTATGAAATTTATATGTGTCATTTAAATTAGTAAAAAGAAGAATCCTATTGAATTTCAGTAATTTCCATTTATTACTTCTAGAGTTATGTCTCTTGTTTCACTTTGTGAACATTCGAATGACAAAAGTTATCATCTGATCTGTATGAAATTTATATGCAGTATTTAAATCAGTAAAAAGCCTGTCAAATTTCAATATTTTCTGTAAATTACTTACAGAGTTAAGGCCCTTGTTTCAGTCTGTAGAACCTTGTGAACCCTCAAACGACAAAAATTATAATCTGATCTGTATGAAATTGTCTTGTAAATGCACCCAATTAACTACAAAAGAATAAATATGCGTCAACCCTTCTTGACCAATCGGACGATTTAGCTGCTGTGGGCGTATGTTTAGTTGCCTGGCAACAGTGGCAACCTATCTTTATGCTCCCACATGGAAATGTGGTCGTATATTGTGAACACTCTACAGACTACATTTATCATCTGATTGTTTTGAAATTGATATATGTCGTTTACATTAGTGAGATGAAGAAGTCTATTTAATTTCAGTAACTTATGTTAATTTTTATACGCCCACATTGAAATGTGGTCGTATGTTGTTGTCACCCCTGTCCGTCCGTCCTTCGATTGATAATATCCAATTGGCTTTAAATTTATACACAGTGTTTAAAGTCATAAGACGAAGAAGCCTATTGATTTTAAGCGATTTTTGATAATTACTGCCAGAGTAATGGCCCTTGATCACTTTGAAAAATCTTGTGGACGCTCTAGAGGCTTAAGTTAATATCCGATTGAGTTTAAATTAATACAGTGTTTAAGGTCATGAGACGAAGAATTCTATTGATTTTCAGCGATTTCCGATAATTACTGCCAGAGTTATGGCCCTTGATCACTTTGAAAAATCTTGTGGACGCTCAAAAGGCTAAAATTAATATCCGATTGACTTTAAATTTATACACAGTGTTTAAGGTCATGAGATGTAGAAGACTATTGATTTTCAGCGATTTCCGATAATTACTGCCAGAGTTATGGCCCTTGATCACTTTGAAAAATCTTGTGGACGCTCTAGAGGCTAAAGTTATCATCCGATTAACTTCACTAACATTTTTTCCCCGCTGGCTACGAGCCTTGATCTGTATAAAATTTATATGCATCATTTAAATTATTGAAATGAAGAAACCTATTGAATTTCAGCAATTTGTTTATGACGACAAAAGTTATCATCCAGTGTGTCGTACGTAACTAACGTACGAAAATTAATTGGTGGGTAGCTTTTTTTGGCACGTATACAGTGAATGGCCATTTTGCTCAGTAATCCCAGCCAGAATTTGGCTATTTTCTAAATTTGCGTTGAAGTTTAAAATATTTGTTTTAGAACTGAAATAAATTAACTATTAGTCAACCCCAACGCAAACAACATTAACAGAATTGATTGTGTATATCTGAAATAGACACGACCGACGCTCAAAATAGTGCCAAGATGGCAGCCTCTATGAACAACCATTCGCAGACGCTGTCATTGAAGACGACGTCAGTTCTATGAGTTGTAGATGTTATTTTTGTGAAAAATAATTGGAAGAAGAGAGAACATGTTGGGACTGGACGAATTATATAGTCTTTATGGGTGCAAAGGAAACAATGCTGAAGATAAACCTATTGTTTACAATGTAACGTGTTGTTGACCTCATGACCCAGTGATGTCAATGTCACGACCTGTGATGTGTAGATCACGTGATATGGATATCATGGCTATTGACTGTGTCTGAGATACTTTTCCGCAGGTAGCGTGTCTCAGATGTTCAGAATGCCAGTCTGTGTGCAAGTTCTAGAGGTATGACCCTTGTTTCACTTTGTCGGACCTTGTAAATGCTCAAACGAAAAAAGTTATCATCTGATATGTATGAAATTTATATGCATTATTTAAATTAGTGAAACGAGGAAGCCGATTGAATTTCAACAATTGCTGTTGATTTCTTCTAGAGTTATGTCCCTTGTTTCACTTTATTGAGCCTTATGAATGCTTGATCGACAAAATTAATCATCCGATCTATATGAAATGTATATGCATCATTTAAATTAGTGAAACAAAGACGCTTATCGAATTACAGGAATTTCCGTCAATTACTTCTAGAGTTATGGCCCTTGTTTTACTTTGTTGAACCTTGTGAATATTCGAACGACAAAAGTTACCATACAATCTGTATGAAATTTATATGCTTTATTTAAATTAATAGAACAAAAAAGCCTGTCAAATTTCAACAATTGCTGTCAATTACTTCTAGAGTTGAGGCCCTTGTTCCATTTTGTAGAACCATGTGAAGCCTCAAACGAAGAAAATTATAATCTGATCTGTATGAAATTGCCTTTTAAATCCCCTCAATACCTACAAAATAGTAAACATGCGACAACCCTTGTCGCCCGCTTGGACAATTTAGCTGCTGTGGCCGTATGTTTTGTTGCCTGGTAACTTTGGAAACATGTGAAAGTCTGCTTCAAAACGGCGCAGATTGTCACAGGACGTCAGGAATCTTGACACATTTTAGATCTGCAGTCAAGAGCTTTGGCACCCATCTTGCAGAAACTTTTGTCATTCCTAACTGGTTGGCTAATGTGCTCAACCCTCTCATGAGAGATGCCCACAACACCGGCAATATATGTCAAGTGGTCAATCCTCGATCAGTCATCGCCATGTCATGCACCTGGGTAATGTGTTCTTGAATGGTTGCTTTTGAAGGCCTTCCAGGATGCGGGTCATCGTCAAGGCTCCCTCTGCCATGCTTAAATTCTGCAACCCAATTCTTTACTGTGGAAAAGGAAGGGGCATCATCCCCTAAAGTGGAGACCATGTCGGCATGTATCTGTGTTAAGGGTTAGTCCATTCAGTTACAGGTACTTGATGACTGCCCTGTACCCAGTTTTGTCCATTACTGGTGATTTCAATGGGTACGTTCACAAGATGGTCTGGTACGAAGACAATAATAACACTACAGTTGCAGTTCTTATGTCTATGATTCATTCAATGATTGAACTTGTTGATGGCAAAAGTTTGTTTCAACCGAACTGATCTATCTTTTTCAGGCTTAGAACTATTCAGCCAGCCTGTGTAATATTATATATTCTTAAATATATGATGTTAAATACAAGTAATTCAAATTTCATTTTTCTTGATCCAACAATTATTTCCTTTTAAGTAGAATATTTAAATGTTTTCATATGATATAAAATATTCTGCAACTACTCTATAATATACGCAACTCCACAGATCATGTGAATGATTTTTATACGCCCACATTTTTATGTGGACGAATATTGTCATCGCCCCTGTTCGTCCACAATTGTTTGTGAACACTCTACAGGTCATAATTTTTATCCGATTTCAATGAGACTTGAAATATAGGTTTAAATTTTTAGACTCTTTGCAGAAACATCACAATTTACAAATGGCATGCACATGTCAATTATCAGTAATATTGCTGATAAATTAATCCAATCTATTAAGATTGTGTGTTCATTGTTCAAAGGATATTATGTCTCATCTAATGTTAAATCTGCTGTTTATGTACTTGATAGTTCTAATGTCAATTTTAAGATGAAGATTTTTTAATATGCATGTTAATTTATTGTAAAGAAAAGTAACATATTGATTATTGTGAGTCTTACAGGTTTTTGTTTAAATATAAGCTTACATTGTTTATAATGTATTTAAATTTTAAACAATTTTATTCCTCTTTTTCTCTGAAAATAATACAATGAATTGAGATATGGAGGAACCCATCCACTTTTGTTGATGTGAAGATATAACACATTTTTGTTTAAGTGAAGGGTGCAGTTGCCAAACCTTATTTAAATATTGTAGTCGCCTTCTAGGTTGATCCATACCGGACACAAGGCATGAATATTGATAACCAGTGCGTAGAATATGTAATGAAGATGTCGGTATGTTGCAGAAGGTTCTCTTTGAAAGCTTCAGTTGTTGTCTTGGCTTAAGTTATATCAGTATATTTATGTTTTGTGTGTTTACAGCGCTGTGTTTGTAGAAAGTTTTAAGGGTTCATGACTGAACTGCCCTGTATAAGCTGCTGTTAAAATGTACCTGTAGGTATCCACTGTCAGAAATTAAAAGGGTTACCTTTTATGGTAATTTGGGCTTCTTTTTTTTTGTTATTTCTTTATTTAGTTAACATAATTTCAATATTGAAGCATAAAAAAGTATGGCATGTTCAGATTTCTCAGTATGAATTCAACCGACACTGCTTCACATCTAAAATACATTAAACAATGGATATCCAGCTTGATATGGTTGGGTTAAATCTAGGGATGGCGGAAAATATCGATATTGTCGGTAAGCGTTTTAAAAATCGATTATCGGTCGATATAGTTTTAAAATATCGATTATCGCGCAATTATAGGTACTTCACTCATAAGAAGAAGTCCATAAAAATAATCCTTATCACTGTATTAACAGAATAGTCATAATAAAACACATACGTTTTGTTTTTTCACGCGATACGCCACAGCTGAGAAATGTAGGCCGCTTATGTCATGATGAGAGCCAGTGGTTTCGCTAGACTGGATAACCTGCTCTAATACGTCAGACTCGCTCCTTTTCTGACTTGCATAATAATTATATAGACTGGACAACCGGCTCTAAATGACGTCAGACTTGTTCCTACGTCACTGCGCTATTCTGAGCGACACAACACGCTGTTAAAAAATATGCCACCGTCTTCTAACCATAGAGCTATATATAGAAACTAGAGTCCGCAGTGATCACGTGATCCTTTTTGGAGCCTATTCAGACGCTTTTATTTCGAAAACTTCTCTTATTTCCTTTCTTAAACTTCTGTTACTTAGAGTCCTAACGGTGGTCTATGGTGTGAATCCAAATTTAAAAGCCTCAATATAGTATAAATGGTCCAAAAGGGTCACAATCTTTAAAAAAAAGTCGAAAAATCGTTATATCTGTAAATCTGCTTCTAATGGTATAAGTGGCGCGTCGAATTACCCAATAACTGCCCAATAACTCCAAAATAACAAATGAAATGAAATGGGGTTTAACGTCCTACTGTTTTGCTCCAAACTGGGTTAATGAAGACGGGCATACGCCATACAGTGTGCTATGAGGGAAATTTTGCCCCGACAGCAGCACTACGGCCTACTCTTATATCGAATTCCAACTGTCAAGGGATCTTTTACGTGCACGTCAATGTGTACACGGGACCTCGGTTTTTCGTCTCATCCGAATGACTAGACAGCTGTCCTTGTCAGGCCCTCCGTCCTGCATCACTGACATGGGGGAACCACGCCGGAAAATCTGAATGAACTTTCTCAGCCAATGCAGGGATCGAACACCCACTTAGCCACCGTGATCCCCCCCCCCCCAAAAAAAAAAAAAAAAAATAACAACCAATAACTACAAAATGTTGACTTTGGAAACACAAAATAACAATTTAGTTGAATTTAAGAAGCATCGCTGCTTTGTGTCCAAATCGGAGTTTCACGCTCACTCGCCTGAAGGGAGATAACTCGTATATGTGATTTTGGTTGACAGGAAATTAATAACACCCAATAACTGCCCAATAACACCCCAATAACACCAAATTGTTGACTTTGGAAATACAAAATTACAATTTAGTTGAATTTAAAAGCCTCGCAACGTTGAGCCCAAATCAGAGTTCTACGCTCACTCGCCTGAAGGGAGATAACTCGTGTATGTGATTTTTGTTTACAAGAAATTATCGGATATTTTGAAAAAAAAATGTAGAAAAAAAAATTTAAAAAATTGAGATTGAGACTTTTATGGCGGAAGAATACGAGTAAACAGTCCTAGGTCCATCTAGAAATCAGCCAGATTTCTTCAAGTTTAGGAATGTGACCTCAAAGATAATAGAGATCTGTTGAAGAGAATCTTGTCATCAACTTCTCAAAGATAATAAATTGTCGCCCAATTATTATCTATTTAGATGGTGCAGTGTTTAAGTGTCATATTACACTGCTCTATATTTAGAACGTACAAGCTACATGTAGATGGGTTTGAGATTTTCAATTCAAATTGAACTAAAATAAGGAAATAATAGAAAATAATCAAATTGGAAGTAGAAATAAACAAATTTAATAACAAATTAATATAATGAAAATAAAATTGATTCAAATATTACATAAAGTAATAATAAGATATAATTAGATGTAATATCTAATGCATCTTATTTTAGCCAGGTTATACAAATATCAGGTTCTATAAGACTTTCAATTCAAATTGAAATTGAGTAGAGAAATCAATCAAATTAAATATAGAAATAAACAAATATAATAACAATTTAGTATAATAATAAAAAAAATGGATTCAAATATTACACAAAGTAATAATAATAAGCTTATATAATGAGATGTAATACATGTATGTACAGCACCTTGTCTAAGCCAGGCTATAAAATATCTTACACTATTTTACTCATATACTTTGATATTGACCAATTTGATGTTAACCAATTAAATGATTTTGGATTTTTTTCCTGGGGAGAATACTATTCATAAGTAAAACAAGCGTTGTTGAGCACATTATCCTTGTATAACTCTTGCCAGTGGCACTTTACATTCACCTATGAATATTTATTTCCATAGAAAGGGCTCAATGTCGAAATATTTACGGCCTATTGAGCCATCGTACATGTATATTATATGTGAACACAGGGTACAAATTTACAAACTTATCAATTATTATTTAAGAAAATTGGATCCAAAAATATCTTATGTTGGTTCATAGATATGAACATTTAATGATTTTTTAAATAGAGGGAGAGGTTACCAAAAACATATTTAATATACAGCGTTGCCATGCAAGAGACGCCAACATTTTGCAAGAGATGGACAGAGAACAAGCTTTAAAAAAATGTTTTTCGTACAATCAGGTATCATAATACAGGCAGACACGGTCCGAAGTATCGACTGGATTCAAGAACTTTGGGATATAAACATATAAGCGGACAAGATAAAAACGTGATTTCTCGTACAATCGGGGGGGGGGGGGGCATAAGACAGGAAATTAGGTCTGATATGCGCGAATATCAAAAGGAACAGAGATATTTGTCAGTAATGAAACATTTATAATACACTAAAATCTGATTACGGTAACAACTCATTAAGTAATTATCAGAAATCATTAGAATTTGTTTGGCCCATGCTGACGTTTACTACACAAAACATTTAATATCATATATTTAGCTGTTTAAGTTATCAAATAGCATTAAAAATCAACATAATTGTTCGTCTCAAGACCTTAAACTATGTGTATCACTCTAAAGTCAATCGAAATAATCATGATATAGGCGTTAACACGGTGTATAAATATAAAATCAATCAGCTGATAACTATCTGGCAGTAATTATCGGAATTCATTGAAAATCAATAGGCTTCTTCGTCTGATGACCTTAAAGACTATGTATATACTTAAAGTCAATCGGATATTTACTTTAGCCCCTAGCGCGTCCACCAAGGGCGTGGATTTGTCATAACTTTTTGGGGGGGGACGAACCATGGAACCTTTCATTACCAAATCAAAATAATAATTACGAACAGTTTACCAGTGTTATCTCGATGAAAGCTGTAACTAGGGGTAATATGATGACGATATGGTAAAATTGACTACCTACAATTAAGGAGGAAGATATCGTGAAGATGAATTACTGTAGCGAGACCCAAGGCAGTGGTTAGATAGCCTTCAGAATGGGACATTCATGTGGATATAAACCTGAAAATCTGTCCTGGTGATCAAAATCATGGGGGGGGGGGGGGCAGAGACCCATTCGCCCCCCCCCCCCCTTCCGATTCTAATGGGGGACCCGTCCCCCCCACTCCTCCCTAATCCCTCCACAAGATTTATCAAAGTCATAAAGGGCCATATATGTAACTCTGGCAGTAATTATCGGAATTTGGTGAAAATCAGTAGGCTTCTTCGTCTCATGACCTTAAACATGGATATAATTTAAAGTCAATCGTATATTAACTTTACCTCTAAAGGGTTCACAACCTTGTGTTACATACTTTTACGCTATATTTCAAGTTTCGTCAATATCGGATGAAAATTGTGACCTTTAGAGTGTCCTCAAAAAATTGTGCACAGACAGGTGCGACTCAATATACAAAAATTAGGATCGGAGGAATATGAGCACTTATATTAAAATAACAGCTCTTGTCTAGTATCGGTGTTCTTCCTGAAATAAAAAAAAACATGTTATGTATCAAGTTGTTTAGAAAATTGGTTTTAGTGCAGTCTCAATAGTAATAATATAATTGGCATTTTACTTTGCATCATGCTACTGTTTTCGTAGCAAGCAAACTGCAAATAATGCTTGCAGTACAAGAAGATATAAAATTGGGATAAATTGCTTACCTTGGAGTAGAAGTTTGTGGTCTTGTCTTCCGACGCCTTCCTTTTTGGGGGGTTTCATTTGGTTTGCGCTTAGAGGTTGTAGATAAGGATGTTGCAGACGAGGTTGTTGCAGATGTGGTTGTTATTGTTTGAGATAATGATTGTACCTTCTTTTTGTGTCGTCCAATTTTGTCTAAAAGTTCGAACATGGGACCTCCAGGTTAGCGAGCCAGTGTTTACCTCACTGAGCCATCATGACTCCCGAAATAAAGTTAAAACATTTTACATACAATAAATAAAGAGACTTGCCTTTAAATCAAAACAGAGTTCTAATATTGCAGTTATTAATTCAAGTGACGATTAGATGTTCGTTCGTCATTTGTTCCTGAGGTTTTACGTCCACTTCCACCAAGGATGATATTCTAGACAAGACGATTTAGACTAATACTACTACCTGGTGCTTTAACGTCTGCTTCCACAGAAGTGATGTCACAGAAGATTTGTCCGCGAATATAAAGGCTGGAATTTCCAGCCTACTTATTTTCTAATAATTTGATTAGTGGATGTGTAATCATTTTTCTAAACACCATTGGAAAACTAGAGGTTTATCCATTGATTGGTTAAAAACCAATCTTGACTAACTTAAATCCTTCAAGTGTCATATTGAGTAATTTGTATATAATTAGTGTTAAGCTGTTAATAAAAATGTTATATATAAAAAGAGCTTTTTATTTTAGAAATTAAAATGTTGTCATTTGATACTCACAATGGCAGGTTTATAGCTATCAACACTTATCTAACTGAACTATTTATATCAGGCCAATAATGCCACTCAAGTTGGACATGTTGTTTAGATTAGCATTCCAGGCAATTAAAAATCAGTGAACCGGGCCAAACCCAAACATCCAAAATTTAGCTCTTTTTTCTAGATGGTCCTAGGGGTGTAAAGAGGTTTTGTACTAACACGGTCATGATATTCTGATCCCAGTCTGCTATGAATTTCAGTTAATTGAAATTTTGGTGGTCAACCCTCATACAGATTGCTGGGGGTTGTGGGTGTCGGAGACAACGCGACTTTATGCAATTACAGACCCTTGTTATATCAGGTGCTTAATAGTAAATTGTGAAAATCGATTTCTTATTCTGACTTTGCTGATGAAGAAATGTGGTTTAATGTCCTTTGGCATTATGGTTAAATTTTATTTCAACAATATACTTGTGTGTTTGGGTCTGTAGCAGTGGGAGGAAACCAGGAAAAAATTACAAGGTCTTTAGCAGTGGGAGGAAACCAGAGGACCTGGAGAAAAACTACAAGGTGGACAGGCAACCCTACACCCTGAACACTAAAAACAGGGGTGTAATCCATAGTTTCACTGTGTGACAGAACCTTTTGCAGTGGGAGGAAATCCATAATTTAGGACAAGCCCTAGTCCTTGTCATTTACAATCAATGACTCGCATCCACAGCGTTAATCATTTGGTCACACATCATCCTTAAACCTTTGAGAAGAACCAAGCTGGAAAATTTGAATATTTCTTGACTAAATGGGGATTGAATATTGGACCTACAGGTTAGCAAGTCACAAGGGCTACCAAAAGGAATGCCTACTAAGAATAAGAATATTGTTTTCAAATTAGAAATGCAGATAGATTTTACATTTTTTTATTGACATTAAGATACAAAAAAAGAACTAAGAAAGTTAATGTAAAAATTATGTGGATTTTGGTGGAGGTTTTTTTTTCAAAATTGCAAATGGGACATCTTTTTTAAAACCTGAAACATAAAAATTAAAACGTTTAATACACTGAGAAGCTATGAAAATGCCCCTTTTTATTAATGGATGATAGTACACCTTGTACGAGATTCTTTCTAGATGTTTACCTTGATGCAATTAAAGTCTGATTAAAAAATGGTTTTTTTTTTTTCGATAGATATATTTTTACTGGGTTTCATTTGTTTGATTATTGATTCTGTAATAAATATTGTAATAGTTGTACATAATATAAATGTGTTATGCTTACCATAGGTGCTATCGCCGCAACAAGACGAAAATCAGGTTTCGTACTAGCATAGAAAATGTAACAATATATTGCGTAACTGTAATGAAATAATAAACTCCTATTGCTGCTAAAGAATTGATTTTAAAAAAAAAAAGTGTGTATTTATAATTATCCGGCAGTAGTTTTTTTAAATTGGCATTTCACTTTAGCCTTTATTTGGACTGACAACTTGACACCATGAGGTCCAAATTGCGTAGACCGGTTAAGAGTTATATTCATGTTTCCCATAATTTTCATAGTATAATTATATAGTCATAAATAAAAAGTATTAGGGTAATACTTACGATGGGTAGTAATGTGTAGGTCAAACGCTAGACTATAACCAGTTTTCTGGCTAACAAAAGAAATATAGAAATTATATTTCCTTCAACTGTAATAGAAAAAACCCAAAACTTTCTGAATAAAATACATTACAAATGTAATAATGTGAAACTCTGAAAAGGAAATTATCACAAAAATGATAATATTACTTTAGTTCCAGAGAGAGAGAGATGGGGTTTAACGTCCAGTCGACACAAACTAGATCATTTTGGGACTAACATATGATTTAATTTTATTTCAATAATTTGTTTGCGCGTAGGGGTCTTTAGCAGTGGGAGGAAACCGGAGAAAACCCACGAGGTTGGACAGGCGACCTTACTCCTTGCCACATACATCCGGGGATTCGAAACCAGGCCAGTTGACTCAATGACAGGCTTTATGATACAGCGCGCGCACGCTAACCATTCAGCCATCCAACCCCCTATAATAATGTAAAAGGACTCATGAATGACAAATTACGAATTCGTGATAACATGCTCTTTAATAATTTTTCTCTACTTTTGGCATGTGGAGCGACAACAAATTGTCCGCAATATTGGTACTTGTCGCAATTATGTATGCCATACAGAGCTTATCTTGTCTCCCTCGTAAAACCATTGCCATATTTGAGATTTATGTCTAGTATAATTATATAGTCATATAATTAAAAGAATTAGGGTAATACTTACGATGGGTAGTAATGTGCATTCAAACGATAGACCATAACCAGCTTTGTGGCTAACAAACGAAAAATAAATATTGTTTTTTCCTTCACTTGTAACAAAAAAACACCCAAATTATCTGAAAATAAATACATTAGAAATGTAGTATAATAATGTAAAACAAACACCCAGTTAAGATAAGGTTGATATTTGTCCCCCGCCTTTCGAAGAAAGCAGGGGACTATTAAAATGGGTTCGTCCGTCTGTCTGTCCGTCCGTCTGTCTGTCCGTCACACTTTTTGGGACACAATAACTCTCTTCCTAATTGAGCTAGAATGTTCAAACTTGGTGTATGTGTTTATTAGGTCAATGCCTTGATGGAGTTCGAAGATGAGCATTTTCCGCTTAGGGTAAGCAGAGATAAGCAATTTGATTGGTTGATGCTTTGGGACACGATAACTCTCTTCCTAATTGGGCTAGAATGTTCAAACTTGGTGTATGTGTTGATTAGGTCAATGCCTTGATGGAGTTCGAAGATGAGCATTTTCCGCTTAGGGTAAGCAGAGATAAGCAATTTGATTGGTTGATGCTTTGGGACACGATAACTTTTAATTGAGCTAGAATGTTCAAACTTGGTGTATGTGTTTATTAGGTCAATGCCTTGATGGAGTTCGAAGATGAGCATTTTCCGCTTAGGGTAAGCAGAGATAAGCAATTTGATTGGTTGATACTTTGGGGCACGATAACTCTCTTCCTAATTGAGCTAGAATGTTCAAACTTGGTGTATGTGTTGATTAGGTCAATGCCTTGATGGAGTTCGAAGATGAGCATTTTCCGCTTAGGGTAAGCAGAGATAAGCAATTTGATTGGTTGAACTGTTTGATTGTTCAATACTTTGTAAAAGATAATTTGTGATAAATTTATATGTGTCCTCTAATTATTTTCCTATTTCGGCGGGGGACATCAGCCTCACTGTTGGCTTGTTTTAATTAAAGACTAGATTATGTTTTTTCTTATGGTATCTGAAATAGTGATACATAACATTTTCAAGTCTGCTCAATTTAATTCCCTTGATGACATTTGCCTTTTTGATAAATATCTCAATGCTTAATATACACTAAATATGTACTCTGATTACATAATATTTCATGAATAAAATAAAAAATAAATATATTGGATTGAATCTAACCCAATGCTAGGCTATGTATTGACTTGGATTCAATGTGGTGGAAATCCAGTTCAACAGGGTTTTTTTTCACTGCCAATAAAAGATGAGGGTTTGTAAAGCGATAATTCAGGAAGTTACGGTCTGATATGCGCGAATATCACAAGGAACCGAGATCTTTGGGTTATAAACTTACATTTCAAGTTTCAACAAAATCGGATAAAAATTGTGACCTCTATAGGGTCCACAAGCTAAAAACGTGATTTTTCGTACAAACAGGGGCCATAATCCATGAAGTTTCGATCCGATACATGCCAAGTTTTCAGGTTTCGTTAAAATCGGATAAGAATTGTGACCTGTAGTGTCCACAAACAAATTGCGGAAGTCCAGACGGACAAGGGCGACGACAAAATACGTCCACATGAAAATGTGGGCGTATAAAAAACCTGAAAATGGTCAACGATACTTACCATGTTAATGATTTCCAACAATTACACATAAATTTTTTGTCACACCCACTGTGACATTTCTGGCATGGCGCAGAAATCTTTCTAGCAATACTTCTGTCATGGGGGACACATCTTTTCTAGCCACATTTGCTGTCACAGTTCTGGCATAAAACATAAACATTTCATATTACTTTTTTTTTCTGAAGTAAAGTATTCCTAATGAAAATGTTCGATATAGGTATGATAATAAAATAAAACCAAGTACAAACAATCCAAACCATTAGACAAAATTCGAAGTCCTAAAAAACGGTATAGGCAAAATAGTGTAATCAGCATATAGACTGATATATTACAATTTTTCAAAACTTATGTGATGTATAGCTAAGATGTTACATCTGCTTATCAATTCATCATATCTTTAAACTAAATAATTAATCACAGGTTGAAAAAGTCTGGCATAGGGGCCACATCTTTTCTAGCCACACTCACTGTCACAGTTCTAGCATAAGGCTGACCTTAAAAATATCTTTGTTTCACCAAACCCGACCCACAATCGAGGAGAAGAGTCGGTAGGTCGTTTTTGATGTGATAAAGGGCCATAACTATGACCGTAAAAAGAAATCATTTGCCAAAATTCTCTGAATTACTTAGGGTTTCATATGATGACTTTACATTGTGGTTCACGATGAACGAACAATTACTGGGCTTTAAGTTGATGTGCTGTGTAGCTTATATACCACCAGAAAACACAAGATATAGCAAGACAGAAATGTTTGACATACTAGAAACACGTTATCTAGAACTTTACCAAAAGAATGTTGAATTTTGTTTAATTGGTGATTTTAACGCTCGAACCGCATCATTACAAGATATTGATAATCAGACAGCCGACGACAAATCAAATCAACCACTGGATGATCTGATGGAAGTTGTTCTAGAAGAAAGACAAATGATGGAACAATATTTTGCCGACAGCCGACAATGTACAGCAGGCAGGCGGTCTGAAGACAAGATATTAAACAGGTATGGCGAAAGATTGAATGAACTTTGTAGTAATGTAGGACTATGTTTTTTAAATGGCAGAAGCGGACAGGACATAAACCTTGGCAAATACACATGCGATGAAACTTCTGTTGTAGACTACTGTATATGTTCCCCCAAAGTATTGCCATGTATTGAAGATTTTTATATAAATGACTTTAATTCTTTATTATCATATAAACATAATGCGGTCTGCTTTGAAATCCGTAATCGGGAAAATAAACAACAGTTAACTAGAGCAGTTGAAGAGACCGTAACTAATGTCACCAAAGTCAGATGGAAAGATGATCTCCAACATGAATTCTGCACCAATTTAGACCTGAATAAACTTAGTGATATAGAGAAAAGTATTGAAAAATTAAATATAGGTGAGGCCAAGCAATCTTGCATAAACCACATAGTTACGGAGATTGGCAATGTGTTTCGTAATAGTGTTATTGAATCACAAATAAGTAAAAATATCATAATTAGAAATAATTCCATGACCAGTAATGGAAAACCTAAATCAAAGCCATGGTTTACTGAACAATGTGCGGTTAAGCGACAATTATTTTTCAAGAGAAAGAAAAACCTCCAAACGTATCGATCCGAAGCAAATAAAGTGAAATTAAGCGAAGCAAGTAAAGCATATAAAAGACAATTGAAATATGAGTACAGTTTATATCTGAAAAATTTTAATCATGATTTGAAAACATTACAACGTACTGACACTAAGGAATATTGGAGAATCTTAAACCAGGATCGTGAATATTATAAAAAAAATGATAACCCCTTGGAACTCTCAGACTTGTATGAACATTTCGCCGCATTGAACAGTGGCGATACAATCCCCGAAAAGACGAATGATGAGATACTCGAAAAGGCTCTCCTGAACTGTGACTGTGCTTTGGATGTGCCATTTACAGAAAATGAAATAAAAACGTGCACACACAAATTGAAAAACAACAAGGCACACGGTGTTGACTTTATCATAAATGAATACATCAAATATACCGAAACTTCTTTTATTAGTGTGTATGTTAAATTATTTAATTTGATATTAGAAACAGGAATTATACCAACTGAATGGGTAGCAGGGATTATTAGCCCAATTTACAAAAATAAGGGAGATAAGCAAGATGTGAATAATTATAGGGGAATAACATTACTAAGCTGTCTGAGCAAATTATTTTCATCAGTAATAAATGAGAGATTGTCAAACTTTGTTGAATCATATCGCATCGTTGGTCCAGAGCAAGCAGGCTTTCGAAAAGAATTTTCCACTACTGATCACATATTCACCCTTAAACACATAGTTGATATATACTTGCTTAAGAAACGCAGGCTTTATGCAATTTACTTTGATTATCGGCGCGCTTTTGATATGGTTCCTAGATTACATCTATAGAATAAAGTTCTAGACTGTAAAATCAATGGTCAACTATTTATTTTGATTTATAATATGTATAAACATATTAAACATGCTAAATCTAGTGTTAGGATTAATAACAAATTGTCTGAAACTTTTAAGTGTATGATAGGTGTTCGTCAAGGTGAAAATTTACCCCCTCTGCTATTTTCGATATACCTCCAAGATTTAGAATCATCTCTGTCCAAAAACTATACTGGATTAAGTCTCTTAAAACAAGAAATAACTGATAATTTACACGATCTTAACGACTTTGATGTATTTGTAGATTTGTTTGTACTTCTTTATGCAGACGACACCATAATTCTTGCTGAGTCTGAGGAGGAGCTTCAAGATGCTACGAATGCCATGTACGATTATTGTTCCAAGTGGAATCTTGAAGTTAATCCTTCTAAGACAAAGGTTATGGTGTTTTCAAGAGGTAAAATAAGGAAAAGGCCCATCATTAAATATGGTAATTCGATATTAGATGTTGTTGATGATTATGATTACCTTGGTATTAAATTCAATTATAACGGAAAGTTCGGCAAAGCCACCAAGTCACTTCATGCAAAAGCTAGTAGCGCCATGTTTTCACTGTTGAAGAAAGCAAATAAATTACACTTAGATATTGATACTCAACTCCAACTATTTGATAAATTAATAACGCCAATATTATTGTTTAGAAGCGAGGTGTGGGGTAATGGGGATATAACTTTATTACAGAGATTACAACTAAAATTTTGTAAAATATTATTAGGCGTAAAAAACTCTACCCCTAATGTAATGGTATATGGCGAACTTGGGGTCTTTCCGATCGATATATTCATAAAATGTAAAATGGTTTTATACTGGCATAAAATTATCAATGGAACCCCCTAACAAGTTTACATATAGCATTATGTTATTTATTAGTACTGTATATAATAATTTTGGTTGGATTAATAACGTTAAATCGACCCTAGATAATGCTGGTCTTTCTTATATATGGCACCAACAGGGTCAAAATGTTAGTCGCAAATGGTTGAAGCAAACGTTATTAGAAAAGCTAAAAGATGAGTTTGTGCAGAACTGGAATACAAAAATATCAGAAAGCAGTAAATGTAACAATTATAGAATTTTTAAGAAACAATTTGAATTAGAAGACTACATGTTAAATCTGCCCCCAAAATATCGTAAGTGTCTTTCGAAATTGCTATGTAGAAGTCATAGATTGCCTATTGAGACTTCATCATATACCAATATACCAAGACAGGAAAGGAAATGTCATCTATGTAGACTAAATATAGGAGACGAATTCCACTATTTGTTAGTGTCCATTTTTTGCAGAATTCAGGTCTCAATATGTAAAGAGATATTATTTCCAATTTCCATCCACACGTAAAATGGATGAGTTATTGCATGTTAAGGATAACGAATTATTAAAATTATGTAAATTCATTGAAAATATATTGTCATTTTTCTCGGTCCCACAAATGTAAATACTGTTAAAAATAGCCTGATGTTTAATAAAATGTATATATAAGATACTATTAATTAATGTTAAATTTAAATCGTTTATAGTTTGACGTGAAATGAATTGTGAATATAATGAAAATGTAAAATGAAGTATAATGAATTCTTGTAACCTGGTGGTTTTCTCGAATAAAGATTATTATTATTATAGATGTATGTACGTCCGTTACCAACATTTTAATTTTAGGGTAAAAATGTACGTCTGTTACCAAAATTTTAGGGTCACAATATGAATATTTCATTTAAGGAGTAATGTTTTTAGGAAAGTAACTGTTCAATGAGTTAACTATTATTATTATCTATAAGTCCGATTATTTGAAAGTTTACATATCTCATGTAATGGGTCAAACTGCACGCAGCGATCCATCTACGTCATACGTCATTATGATCACTGCCCCAATTAACCGCCATTTAAAACGCTCACGTGATCATTTTGGGGCGGGACTTATCGACCGGACTACAGCTTTGTGTACACAACAGAGTAAAAATAACCCGTGCACGCATGTTTTTTATGTAAACACATGTCTTTAGCAAAATGTCAACTTGAACTTCTGCCAATCCGGTAAAAGCGATATATAATATGTACTACTAGTGGGTAATATTGCCATTGTAAACTGTCTTTAGAGTTTCAATCTGTTTATCTTTCAAAACAAGGTTAGATACACCTAAATTTGTCTTCGCAAACAAAACCGCCTCTGTGAAAATATCTTTTATGGGCGCCGCCATATTTAATAATTAGAGGACTATTTTGTGATTCGGCTTTGATTAGTTTGATTGACATCTTTCATACACACAGCGGCTAAATAAACATATTTAAGCACTTTCATTGCTCTTTTCAAATATGTAAATTATTTTCTGGTGCATTTACATTTATTTACTTTGAAAACCGTCAATGTTGGGTGGTACTAAAATCTATTACCATGATACGGAGAGGTGGCGTGTTGATTTGCTTGTCCAACATGGCGGCGGCCATGACACAAAAATGTAAAGTTTGGTTATCTTCTGACAATCATAAATCCCCTTGAAATTTCACATAGATATAGAAAACTACATAAACAACACACTCTTAGGTTTTAGAAAACCCATTTGCTTACCTCGGGTTTCAAATCACTGGACTAGGCCTATATGACAACAATTTTCTTACAGCAACTTTCGATCACCTTTTCGGAATGTCAACATCCGGGTATTTGGTTCCGTCCAAAACGAGGCTCAGGGGGGTTCGTCTGCTATTATTGCTGTCTCGCGCTTTGTCATTTTTACGCTACGCCTAAATCTACATGAAGTTTGTTGTCTTTGTACATATCAATTCATCACAAATATAATAATACCAGTAAAAAGAGGTGAGTACAAAATTATTTTATTATTTACACAGCCATATAAGTGCGAAGGTTGATCCACGACCGATATTTAAGCCGTAGAGCCAGTAGAGGGTGAAGGTTGTGTCAACATTGACAGGTCAAGTTTGTTGACAGTAGGCCTGTGATATCGACGACTTCTTGCCAGGTGTTTTTTTTAATAGGGCCTATTAAATTTCATAAAAAAGAAAACTTTAACATTTATATATTATTATCGTCACTGTCTATTCTCTTGTGTGTATTTTTATTTTATTTTTTTTTAGATTTACACTTAATCAAATCTTTGGGTAATCTTACCGTCAACTAAATTATTATTATTACGGTATCAGAAAAAATGGATTCCGTTAATTCAGGCACGGAAAATGATAAAGGACAAGTACTGGTAAGTACAAACTACAAGGTGTTGTCTGTTATCTGTTGAGTGAGACTGATTACATTCGATAGATATTATATTATATTATAATAAAAATAAAGTCATTTTAAGGTATCTAACAACTTCTTATATTATACTTTGTGGTGTTTTATTTCTGGCTGTCCTCTATGCCCGTTATTATTATTTTTTTTAGAACACAAGCAAGAATCCTAAATCATTGAAGGAGCTAACAAGTTTGCCAAAGCCGAAACTTAATGTAATTCTGAAAGAGAACGAATTAAGTACAAAGGGCAAGAGAAGTCAGAAAATTACGGTTTTGGCTAAGAAGCTGCAAATTGACTTACATGAAGATGATGATGAAGATACATTCAACCAGGCCTTACGAGTCGCACAGTCATCAGTTAAGGGCTGGAAGTTTGACAGCAAAGCTATACCAAGCATACAATTGCAAGATGTCAGTTCGTTTTTAATAGAGAAAAATTGTGTAAATGCTAAACATTCAGTGAACTTTGAAGAATACACCAAGGACACTCTTAGACGATATAAATGCTTAAGGGGGTATGAACATTATGCATCAAAGCACATACATTCATTTGAAACAAATGATGAATTTTCCGAAAATTACATTGTTATACGATGTCTGTGTCATCCATCCTGGGATACTTCCGGTACACAGTATCAGGTATACTTGGTATTTAATTCAAAATTAAATAAAGTGATTGGAGCTAACTGTTCATGTGTAGCAGGAAGAGGAGAGGCATGCACCCACATTGCCGGAGCACTCTTCACTCTGGAGGATTTCACTAGCAGAGGCTACCAAACCCTATCCGCATCTACTGATATTTTATGCAAATGGAATGAACCAAGAGGAACCAAGGTTGGTATTTTATTTTATGATATGATTTATATCTCTGTTATGTTCTAGAGTTAGGGTTATACTACTATATTTTTTGGTTAATATTATTATATTAATAACAATGATTTTAAAATAAAAACATGGCACACAAGTCAAATATCGGTACAATATGTAAGTTCATATTTGGAAAGTGTTTTGTAGTCATAAATATTGTTAAAAAGAAAGTATTAAATATTAAAAATTAAATCGTTGCAGGTTCAACCTAAACCTATCCAGGATGTTTTGATCGAAAAAAGAGGACCAATGAAAGGGAAAAGAAAACGAAAAGATCCAAATTATAACCCGATTAATCCCGCAAAACGTCAAGTCAACTATGAAGCTGTGAAAAAGTTGATTCATACCTTAAACCTTAATTCTATAGATGTTCCATTTCTTAGAGGTAAAAAATCCTATCAGATTTACCACAAAAGCACCCCTTTCACTCTAGTAATTGTTTTCTATAATTGTTATTATTAGAAATGAAAAATAATTAGCTCGCATGCTTTCTAAAGTTAAAGGGAGTATTATTATTTTCCAAATAAATGATTAAACATAGGCCTGTCTTTTTAATCTATTTTACAGCTGTTGATCCAGAGAAATGGCGACCATGTTGGATGTCTTACCCCCCAGCTATAGATGGACCAAGTTCTCTACCTGAAATACTCGATGAGTTTAGTGTTGATTTAATTCCGGCATTGGAAGAGGAAGTAACAACGAACAGATTCATACCAACATCAATTTTAAGTTTAGTTAAGAGTTGCCGTTTCGAAAATCCTAAATATTTGTTCAACGCTATACGATGGAGCGCTGATGAAATAGAAACTATTTCGGAAATCACGCAAGGACAGTCATCTAACCCTAACTGGCATCACTTCCATAAAGGTTTGATTACAGGCACCATTGCCCATGATGTGTTGGTCCAAACAAGGAAAGAAGAATGCAAACAAAATACATCAAAAATTATTCATCAAATTCTCCAGGGCAGTTTATTCCAGGGAAATACTGCAACAAAGTACGGATTAGATAATGAGGCTGTTGCAGCCAACTCATATTTGAATAAAATTGCAGGAAACCATATAAATTTTACTTTACAAGAGCAAGGACTATTATTGTCTGGTCAGTACCCTTTCCTTGGTGCAAGTGTGGACAGAATACGCCACTGTGAGTGTTGTTCACCCTGTCTTGTTGAGATAAAATGCCCATACAGATTGCGCGATAAGGATGTTACAGATTTATCTACTCTAGAGTTCATTACCGGTAATACAAGTAATTCAACTTGGAGATTAAATACAAACCACAAATACTATACCCAAGTTCAATTATACATGGCTGTAACAAACATAACTACTACAGACTTTGTAATCTGGTCACCAAATCAAACTGAAATAATTACAGTTCTTTTTGATATGAATTTTTGGAAAAACGCAATAGAAAAAATTGGTCATTTTTATGAATTCTTTGTATCACCAGCACTTTTGTCTCTTAATCACCATGCTGCCAATCAACAGAGAGAGGAATTTGCAAATGACACTCTACAGGTATTCAATTTAAAATTTCAGAAAAAAATGACACATCAGATCAACCCAATTCAATAGCAGTACTTTATTTTGTCCTAAATAAAAGAGATTTAGCTATTCTTGACATATTCACATTTCATGTTTGATATATACAATATTTATCAGTCTGTTATCATAATCACTAATCACTTAAAATATATATATATACACAGTATTGTCAATTTCTGTTGAAATCTTTATTCATGTTTTATATAAAATATGCTTATTTTTCCTATTTTTCAGACTTGTGAAGGTAAAAGGTCCTTATGTTCAGTTTGTAAAATGTATCTTCCAGATAATGTATATGATAATAAGGAAGCAAGTGTTTGTTGTGACTGTTCATGTCAATGTGAGAAATGGTTTCATTGGAAATGTTGTGACTATGAACCAACTTCAGTTGCTGACTGGTTATGCAATGAGTGTAAAAATCATTAAACCATCTCCAAGTGTTTTTTTTTTTCTTCAATTAATTAAACATAAAAAATCTATCCCATGAATTATAAATTAAATGATTATGCAATTATATACAGACCAATATAATATGTCTATGTGTGATGTTGAACGCTATAAGATACATTGTAACTTCATGCTTTATGTGCGAACAAACTATTACGGTATTATTATTCGAGAAATTTAATCAACAAGAAATGGTTTTTGAAAGTTCACTAGATATGCACAAGCTTTAAATATCATGCAGTAGCTATCTGTCATAGCTAGTTTACATTCTTTTGAGAGGAGTTCAAACTGCTTTATTCGTCTTATTGCTCGTTCAACATGAACTCTTGCCTCTGAAATTTCCATAGATTTCAATACCATTGATTTTGAAAACTGTGACCTTTAATAAAAAAAGATTTACATGTATATTATGAAATATAAAATATGTGCTATAATAATTGAATATTTTGTGATTTTATGTCTGTTGCCACTGTCGGTATGTTTCTAAATGGCTTTCTTCTAGCCGTTGATTTGATTTATTATGTGAAATTAAAAAAAAAATGATTATACTTGAAATGTATAATTATTGAAGTCTTTATGTCTTACCTGTCTTTATTTTTGAATGGTGGTATTATTAACTCAACACCTGGGGGTAAGTCTCCGCTGATTGTAAAGCCTCTATCCGCCATCACAGACGTCCCAGGCAATAGACCATCTAAAAAGTCAGTTGATGATTGCGTTATTAATTTATCGGAAGCTCGGCCTCCAAACATGTCAGAAATATACGTGACGGCTCCAGATGGGCTAATGCCAACTAGAAATTTGAAAGTGCTATATGATGTTTATATGGTGAAAAAATTTGCTTATGAGCAGCAAGGCTAGAAGGGGTTTCCGAAAAAAGTTCAGTACAGTCTATAATGATTTGTAAAGATTTAAATGGATTAAAACATTTTGCTGCGTTTTCTTTCGATTTTTCATAAGAAGGCATCGAGCATAGTGCTTCCAAAGAATGGGACAGAAGCGCTACCCATGTGTTAAAAATTACTGAGACTGTAGAAAGAGAAATGCCATTACGTATGGCGAGGTCCTGAAGAGGAATACCAAGTTTTAGTCTTGCAAGTGTTAAAAAAAATTCATCTTTTCCACTCAGCAACCTCTTATTACCAGGTTTATGTTTTATGTTTTTGTTTACGAAATGTTCACTTTCTGGTTTATAATTATACTTCATGTCAATACTCATGTGTTCTAAATATTCAAAAAGTGACTCAAATACAGTAATATCGGGGAATCCTGTGTAATATGTTAAAAGCTTTTTGTCGTCTTTAATGTTGTTGAACCTCAAAACCTGTTTCTTTAATTTAATTTCGTCTGTACTTTGATTAGGTAACAACATTTTATAATGATTGAAGTCTTTATGTCTTACCTGTCTTTATTTTTGAATGGTGGTATTATTAACTCAACACCTGGGGGTAAGTCTCCGCTGATTGTAAAACCTCTATCCGCCATCACAGACGTCCCAGGCAATAGACCATCTAAAAAGTCAGTTGATGATTGCGTTATTAATTTATCGGAAGCTCGGCCTCCAAACATGTCAGAAATATACGTGACGGCTCCAGATGGGCTAATGCCAACTAGAAATTTGAAAGTGCTATATGATGTTTATATGGTGAAAAAATTTGCTTATGAGCAGCAAGGCTAGAAGGGGTTTCCGAAAAAAGTTCAGTACAGTCTATAATGATTTGTAAAGATTTAAATGGATTAAAACATTTTGCTGCGTTTTCTTTCGATTTTTCATAAGAAGGCATCGAGCATAGTGCTTCCAAAGAATGGGACAGAAGCGCTACCCATGTGTTAAAAATTACTGAGACTGTAGAAAGAGAAATGCCATTACGTATGGCGAGGTCCTGAAGAGGAATACCAAGTTTTAGTCTTGCAAGTGTTAAAAAAAATTCATCTTTTCCACTCAGCAACCTCTTATTACCAGTTTTATGTTTTTGTTTACGAAATGTTCACTTTCTGGTTTATAATTATACTTCATGTCAATACTCATGTGTTCTAAATATTCAAAAAGTGACTCAAATACAGTAATATCGGGGAATCCTGTGTAATATGTTAAAAGCTTTTTGTCGTCTTTAATGTTGTTGAACCTCAAAACCTGTTTCTTTAATTTAATTTCGTCTGTACTTTGATTAGGTAACAACATTTTATAATCGTCTAAAAGATCATATATTTCGGGTATCTGTAATTAAAAAAAATAATTTAGTTATCGTAGGATAGGATCTGTTGGTCTAATCTTTGAGAACAAAAGAATGAGAAATATTTTAATAAGATGATTTATGGCATACATTTTACCTCTTCAGCAAGTTTGTCAACGGCATCACTAACTCTCCCTCCGCGAACTGTTTTAAGGTAATCATGGTCATTACCAATAACCATGCAATTAATCTGGCTCTAAAAAGATAATTCAAACACAATGAAGATAATTTTGTTGTCAGCATGAACTTATTATTTTCATAAACTTCAGTAATAAGTAATTATAATTAATAAATACATTTTCATTCTTTATGGTGTTAATCGAATTATTTACATAGTTAACCCATAATTAAGGTCATTTTAAATTCTGAATTGTTCATATATTTATTATACAATAAGCTTATAGAACTAAATAATCACTAGTAATTTTATATGGACGTAACGTTTTGGAAATTTTTTTTACCTGTTCGGTGCTGCTCATATCACACTCCCTGTCACTATTGTCAATGCTACACGTATTTGTGCAAGGTGGAGTTGTACATGAAGGTCTGATACTAATAGATGGTAAAAACTCCCTTGATCTTGGCGTGGGTTTTGAATTTTTTACTGTTGACAAAGGTAAATTTATGTCTGGAATCGTGCACTTAAATCCTTTAAATCGTTTACTGGCAATTGGTGGGTTGGAAAAATGGCAGCTACATATTTTTGAATATTTATTTGGTACCCATGACGAACCTGGCTTTACTGTGCCTCTCCTCGTGGCTCTTATCTGCAAGTTAATGTTAAATAATATTTAACTAGCCCATTTGTTATAACTGATAAGTTAAATAATGATTAAAACTAAAATAATCATTTGTGGTCAATATCTAATATGTGTGCCATATCAAACCTTTGAACATCGTTTTAAACATGTCTATGTTTAGACAGGTAATAAAGAGAACTCGCAAAAATCTAAGCAAGAACATAACAACTCACCCATGATGACCGAAATGGTTCTTCAATTGGAAATGAAAAAAAAGACAAACAGTCTCCTCTCCTCCCTCTTTCATGTGAACAGCCATAAACAGCACAAAAATCCTTCCCCATTAGTATTAGTAGCCTACTTGAAATCTATATAATATCATAATAATATTAATAATAATATTATAAAAATAAAGGTAAAAATAATAGTAATACCGGTATTTGCCGGTAATATTGATCTTTTTACTTTAAAAAAAAAAAAAAATATCAAGAAAAAAAAAAGACTTTCATTTTACATAGATCGTATAAAAATATGTTAATCTTAATGAGTAATATTATAATATCACAGTTTCAATGTCAATCAATATATACAACGTTATGAACACGTACGGTACGTCGTCATATAAAGCATTGGTGATGACTTAGTCTGAACTAAAAAAACATACATTCATCTAGAAATATGGTAGGGTTTGGTTAAAGTTTTCTCTTTTAAAGTATCGGAAAATACCAACTAAATATCTAATTAATATTAAAAACACCTAGCAAAAAGTCGTCGATATCACAGGCCTACTGTCAACAAATTTGACCTGTCAATGTTGACACAACCTTCACCCTTTACTGGCTCTGCGGCTTAAATATCGATCGTGGATCAACCTTCGCGATTAAACGACTGTGTAAATAATAAAAGTACTTTGTACTCACCTCTTTTTACTGGTACTACAGACTACTATATTTGTGATGAATCGATATGTACAAAGACAACAAACTTCATGTAGATTTAGGCGTAGCGTAAAAATGACAAAGCGCGAGATAGCATTTAGCAGACGAACCCCCCCCCCCCCCAGCCTCGTTTTGGACGGAACCAAATACCCGGATGTTGACATTCCGAAAAGGTGAATGGTGAACAGGGAAAAAATGACAGGGAGGCTTAAACAGAAACCAGTGGTCTACGTCATCAGAATTCGGACACAAATAACGTTCACTTGAAAACAAGGTTTATTCAAGTTTATTTCAACGATGTATTTCATGGGAGTAATGAGTTTTAACGTTAATAGGTTACCTGGTATAAAAAAAAAATTCGCAAAGGCGTATTTCATGTTTTTATAATTAGCCTTTATCGACAATTCCCGTGTTTCCCCGTGATGTGACGTCATACGTCCGACGGACTGTGTTAACATAATATTATGTCATAAGGCTGGTCGCTTGCGTTGGTTTTCAAATAGTTATCAGATATGTGGTCGTGTTGAATGCATTTACTCATTACGAATTTCAAATGATGTCTAAATTATTTTTGTTGTTTTAATGTACTGCGCTGTAGCAAACGATGTGCTTATATAACAGCATAAACCAAGATGCATTGCTGTCATGGAGATGTGTATATATACACCTCTATGATTGCTGTATAGGCTTACTATAATAAAGCCGTTTAATATGTTTTTTAGGCCTGATTTTTCTGCAAACAATTTCACACAATTTAATAAATAATATAGAAAACATCTTTTTGTGGTTTTAAGATTAAAATGCGAGGAAAAAGAGCAATCGAGTTCTAATTGGGGACCTGCGGTTACAAGAAAAATTCAATACATTAAAATTTAAGCATGGCATAGCGCTCATATCTAAAATAAGGACAACTAATAAAATAATTCTGGAAATCCGGTCCAGTGTTAAACTTTCATTCAATTCAACACTTGTTCTATGAACGAAATACTGAATTTTAGATGATAAAATGTGACAAAAATGTGTTCTTGGTTGCATCAATGGGGATAAGCTGATTGGATTAATAATTCAAAGAGAGAGAGAGAGATATTGGGCCTAACATCCACGCGACACAAACTATAGGTCATTTTCGGGACTAACAGTAACATGGTTCAATATTATTTCAATAATTCGCTTGCGCCTAGGGGTCTTTAGCAGTGGGAGGAAAACCCACGAGGTTGGGCAGGCGACCCTACTTCTTGTCACGTACAACCAGGTAATCGAAACCATGCCAGTTGACTCAATACCAGACCGTATAGTACAGCGCGCACGTGCTAACCATTTGCCCCTGCCCACGGTTAATAATTCACAGAGTGCCAAAATGAAATGAAATGAAATGTGGTTTTATGACACATCAGCACCAACCGGTCTATAGGCCTATCGCTCCAGACATATTCTTTACTTTGATCAAGGTTAAACATATATATGCAAAATCTAAATCTGCCTTTTGCAGGTCTTTCTTTGGGCCTTAAAATGCTATATAAACTATTACTTAGAAATGAAATGAAATGAAACGAAATGAAATGGGGTTTACCGTCCTACAGTTCTGATCCTAATCTAGGCTAATGAAGACGGGCATATACCATACAGTGTGCTATGAGGGATATTTTGCCCGCGCAGCAGCGCTACAACCCACTCTTATATCGAATTCCAACTGCCAAGGGATCTTATACGTACACGCCAATGTGTACACGGAACCTATAATAAAAGTGCTCCAAATAGGTCCTCAGTCTTTGCAAAAAGTTGAAAAATCGTTAAATTACATTTTTCTCTTTTTTTTTTCTTTTTTTTTTTTTGAAAACAGCTCAATGGATGTTCCTCAAACTTCTGGTACAGAAAGTTACGTATCCAGACAACTTGTTCAAACTATCCCGACAATGATCCAAAACGAGAATTAGTCGAAAAAAATATCCAAGTCGAAAAATATTCGATATTTTCACAAAACAGTAAAAAATAGCCGCTCTTGCGAAAATCGTGATTTCTCCGTCAGGTGTCACTGGATCAATTCATCAAAACATCTAAAGCATGTTTGGATAGCAATATTCCTGCCCGATTCCTTAAAGCCGGTTCAGTGCTGCTTGCAGGTCTAGTTATTATTATTTTTTTTTTTTTTCCGGGGGAGCCTATTTCTCCATGATCGAAAACAGATATCGATCTGGAACCAAATTTTCTATTGGGAAACCATGTGGTGGCTACTTGATAAAACAATTTTGAAACTTCTGCGCATACCGGAAGTAACCGAATTTTGTACTTTTTTCCGGAATTGACAATCGGCCGTGGTTTCGTCAATTCTTTACCTATTTTCAAACAAATGACATTTTCGGAAACCCCGAATCTTTCCCGAGATAATGGTTATCTCACATTTTTCAATTTCGAACACTCATCTATGGCTTTTGTCGTTCGAATTTTGAAAATACGTTGTTTACGAGACAATTTTTGTTATTCTGCAAAATTTTCAAATTTGACCTACATTTTTGGATACCGATTCCAAAAATATAAGTTTCATTCAGAGTTACCTATTTTCAAACAAATGACATTTTCGGAAACCCCGAATCTTTTCCGAGATATTGGCTATCTCACATTTTTCAATTTCGAACACTCATCTATGGCTTTTGTCGTTCGAATTTTGAAAATACGTTGTTTACGAGACAATTGTTGTTATTCTGCAAAATTTTCAAATTTGACCTACATTTTTGGATACCTGAAGTCTATCCGATTCCAATAATATAAGTTTCATTCACAGTTATCGCCCTTTATTTTTCGATTTTTTTCGAATTTTCTGCCCATTTTATAACCCTTATATTTTTTTGAAAGCCTCAATTGATGTTTCTGAAACTACTGGAACATAAAGCTATATAGTCAGACCGGTTGGTAAAGCAATTTCAACAACGATCCGGAAACCGGAAGTTGTCGAAATAATGATAGATATTTCGAAAAAAACGCAAAACGATTTCTCCGTCCAATATCAATGGATTAAACGAATTAAGCTTTGGTTGAGTGGCACGAGGAATGGACTGACAAGCTGAAAATAAAATATTTTCTGATTTGGAGCGTTTTTGGACGCCTTTATCTCAAAAACTTAACCTACAATTTTTTTTTTAACTTTCTCTATCGAGAGTCCATGCGATAGTCTTGTGCATGAAAACATCCAATAAGACTTTGACATGCCTGGAATAGGATAAAAAAGGGACTGAAAATCGCAAAGAGTCGAAAATTCGTAAAATTTTGGAAAATGCTATATTATTTTATTATTTAATCAGATTTTTACGAAAAGGTTACACATTCACATAGCTGACCTAATTACAATTCTAACGATGTATAATATGTATTGAGTTATTGAAATTTAATTTTCGATATTTTGACATTTTTGAATTTTTGGCACTTTTGAACATACGATTTCTCAGGGCCATTTTATCGGATCCGATAATGTAATATATCATTACCGAGCCCTGTGGCTATCTAATTCCCCAAATTGGTTATTAAGACTATCCCGACAATAATCTCCATACCGGACGTATTCAAAAAATGAAGAAAAAGGTTTAAAAAATTAGCGCTCGTGCGAAAAACTTGATTTCTCCATCAGATCTTAGCGGACCAGAAGAACTAAAGTGTCGCTGGATAGCCCCATTAATGGATTATCACATGACATCTGAATGATACGATTTAGATGGCTAGAAAATAAATTATGGTACGCCGAAAATCTAGTATTTTCCGTTTTGGAGCATTTTGAGACGCCATTTTCTCGAAAACGAAAACTATGATTTTCCTTAAACTTTTTTTACTCAGAATCCTATCGGTGGACTATGGCGTGAGTCCAAAAATAAAAGCATTGAAATAATATAAGTTGTCCAAAAAGAACCTCAATCTTGGAAAAAAGTTGAAAAATCCTTAAATTACTGAAAATGATTTTCTAATTTTCTTTCTTTGGAAAACAGCTGAATGGATTATTCTGAAACTTCTTGTACAGAAGGTAAGGTAACCAAACAACTTGTTAAAGCTATCCCGACAATGATGCAAAAACCGGAAGTAGTCGAAAAGATTTCCGATATTTTGAGAGAAAAAAAAACGTAAAAAGTAAAAAAAAATGGCGATCTTGCGAAAAAAAGTGATTACTACGCCAGATTCCACAGAATCAAAACAACTAAAGTGTCATTGGATAGTTCGAACAATGGACGATCTTATGACATCTAAATGGTAAAAATTCGCGGGCTAGGCAATATATAATGGAACGTTGAAAATCTATTATTTTCCTTTTTTGAGACTATTCAGACGCTTTTATTTCGAAAACTTATCTTATTTCCTTTCTTAAATTCTGTTACTTAGAGTCCTAACGGTGGTCTATGGTGTGAATCCAAATTTAAAAGCCTCAATGTAGTATAAATGGTCCAAAAGGGCCACAATCTTTGAAAAAATCTTATGACATCTAAATGGAAAAAATTCGCGGGCTAGGCAATATATAATGGAACGTTGAAAATCTATTATTTTCCATTTTTGAGACTATTCAGACGCTTTTATTTCGAAAACTTATCTTATTTCCTTTCTTAAATTCTGTTACTATGAGTCCTAACGGTGGTCTATGGTGTGAATCCAAATTTAAAAGCCTCAATGTAGTATAAATGGTCCAAAAGGGCCACAATCTTTGAAAAAATCTTATGACATCTAAATGGAAAAAATTCGCGGGCTAGGCAATATATAATGGAACGTTGAAAATCTATTATTTTCCTTTTTTGAGACTATTCAGACGCTTTTATTTCGAAAACTTATCTTATTTCCTTTCTTAAATTCTGTTACTATGAGTCCTTACGGTGGTCTATGGTGTGAATCCAAAATTAAAAGCCTCAATATAGTATAAATGGTCTAAAAGGGCCACAATCTTTGAAAAGGTCGAAAAATCGTTATATCTGTAAATCTGCGTCTAATGGTTTAAGGGAGGTAAAACTGTCCAATGGATCTTTCTGAAACTTCTGGTACATGAAGTTAAGTTCCCATACCACTTGTTAAATCTATCCCGATAATGATCCGTAAACAGGAAGTAGACAAAAAAATATTCGATAATTAAAAAAAAAGA